CCAATGCATGCTAGCTATCTTGTTTCCTTCCTTTTGTTCGGATCTTTAATTTGTTATATGAACTATTATATGTTATGTATCTTACAGAGTATCAGTTGCGGGTTGCAGAGCTTGCCGTTTAATTATACTAATAATAATATATACGATCTAGCAGCACATGATATGATTTGCGGCTCATTCATGGTTCCTAGGAAATGTGACTATCCAAAGTTTTTTTTTTCCCCCTTGCAAGGGAATGGGTGTTTTTCAGGCAGGAATCGAATCTTTCGAGTGTAAGAGATCCCATCCAATATTTCCATAATGGTGTAATTAGCTTTTGACTGAAAATTAATTTCCGATTTCAGCTGTCTGTCCAAGCATCCGTGATCCGACCCACCAATTCCAACAATCACGTAGGAGATATAACTTTACTGAAAGCCGAAACGAGGTAGCTAGCAGCAGGTCAGGTCTGTCGTGGATTAGGTAAACCAATTCGTGTCATGGTTCCTAGGAAATGAAGACGCGATCCGTCTTCACCTCTTCTCCCACTCTCTGGCGGGGCATGCGAAGAGGTGGCTAGAGACTCAGCCGCCACTGTCCATCACTTCTTGGGATGATCAGGCCAACAAATTCGTGCACATGTACTATTTGGCCTCGAAGACTGCGGAGATTCAGCGGGAGATCACTCATTTCCGCCAAAAAGATTATGTGTCGCTGCGAGATGCTTGGGAACGGTATTCTGGACTGTTCTGGAAGTGTCCCACCACGGCTTCAGTGATGCATTCACTGTGGGAAACTTCTACAAAGCTTTGTCTCCAGAGAACCAAGGGTTGATTGAGTCTTTGTGTGCAGGTGGAGACATTCTCACAAAGACTCCCCCGGAGTTGAACTAGATGATCATATTCTTCTTTGGGGACAAATTGATCTATTCTTCTTTGGGTCATGCCCAAGTTTCTTCCCCCGAGTCGCCAATTGATCTCCGATTGACTTGTAACTTGCGTCTATGCTTCACTTTACACGTTAGGACCTGAAATGTGACAAAGGAACACAACACAACCTAGAGTAAAATAAGCCAAAGTATGATAAACACCAAGCTAAACAATCAAGCAGGAGCGGAGCTAGGATTGAGCGTTCCCGGGGGGGGGGGGGGGGGAGGGGGGCGAGTTTTTATTTTGTAACCGTGAAAAGACGATTAAATTAAAAAAAATATATTTTAATATTATTATAATAATTTTTTTAGATGATTAGAGTCACTCAAAATAAGATATAAACTTAAATTTTCTATCGTTCTACAATATATAGAAAATGATAAACAAATCAATAATACATTTAATATTGTGTAACACATTCTATTTTCATACTTGAAAAAATCATGTCTAGTATTTTATAAAGAATTTGTTTTATTCACCCAAAAGTATTCTTTAACATTTGCAACTTGAAGAGTTTAATTGATCTATGATTTTAGTAACAGATTTAAGAAAACAAATTAAAAAAAAAACAAGTTAGCTAAATATTGAAAGTCAAAAGGACTAAGTGTACCGTTATATAAAAATTAAATTCGAAATTAAAGGGCTTAAGGAATCATATTGAAATTGAAAAAATTAATTAAGAAATTATCATAAGATAAAAGTTGAATGGATAATTATTGGAATATATAACTTAAATTTGGAATTAAATGAATTAAGAAATCATATTGAAATTAATGGAATTAAGAATCGTAAGATAAAAAATAATAAACTAATTATTGATACATACTAAAACTGATAAGAATCATAAGATAAAAATTAATCGAGTAACTATTGATACATACTAAAACTGAAGAAAGAAAATAATGTACGTACCCAACCGTTAAGGAGTAACACATGTGCAAATTCAATGTTATTAGCGAGCATATACAGCAGGTCGTGGATCTTCAAATTTATGTTTAAACAATACCATATCTGGGTGGTTGCAGGTGGGACTGAAAGGGCAACGACCATATCTGATCCTGAAGAGCCATCGAAACACCCGCAGGTTCCTCAATAAATTACTTGAGTCAATCGCCCAATGCATGCTAGCTATCTTGTTTCATTCCTTTTGTTCGGTTCTTTAATTTGTTATATGAACTATGATATGTTATGTATCTTACAGAGTATCAGTTGCGGGTTGCAGAGCTTGCCGTTAAATTATACTAACTAATAATAATATATACGATCCAGCAGCACATGATATGATTTGCTGCTCATTCATGGTTCCTAGGAAATGTGACTATCCAATGTTTTTTTTTCCTGCAAGGGAATGGGTGTTTTTCAGGGAGGAATCGAATCTTTCGAGTGTAAGAGATCCCATCCAATATTTCCATAATGGCGTAATTAGCTTTTGACTGAATAATTAATTTCCGATTTCAGCTGTCTGTCCAAGCATCCGTGATCCGACCCACCAACACCAACAATCACGTAGGAGTAGGAGATATAACTTTACTGAAAGCCGAAACGAGGTAGATAGCAGCAGGTCAGGTCGGTCGTGGATTAGGTAACCCAATTCGTGGGTTTGGGCCCAACGCTCCCGCTTTGGAGCGTCAAAACGCGGACCCAGGGGAGAGCGTAGGTAATTCGCGAACTTGTTTTTCTGGGAGCGCGAATTTTGTGGGGAATAGCGCGATTTGGCAAACAAGGAGTCATCTTCTTCGTGTGGTGTGGATACTGTAAAGAGAAGGAGAGAAGTCAAAAGAGGGGTAGAAGTCGACGGCGAGGGACATGCAAGGTATTCCCGGTGATGGAGGCAGAGATTGATCGAGATGTATCTCAACGACGGAACAAGAAGTTGGATCTGTGATAGTGGCGATATCTTGGACTTCTATCGAAATAAAAGTCGACAGCAAGTGTGAATTCTGTCCGCGATGGTGGAGGTTTGGGGTGATGGTTGGGCGATGGGGATTGGGATTTTTCTGGATAGAGAAACTGAATCTGTTTCATCTTAAACAACCATTAATTTGTTGGGCTAAATTAATTTTCCGGAAATGTTCTAGGCTTGGAGGAAAAAGGTCCAATAATTTCATGGCCCGCAGGTCCATTCAATATAGTTCCAAGTTTTAAGTTTTTGTAGAAGATGGACGATATTCATCAATATATATTATATATATAATAAATTTACAAAATAACTAGATTATTTATTTAATTTAAATACTATAATTTGACGCTCTTGTCGCGCTCTCAATATTGAATTCTTGAAAAACAAGCGCTCTTACGCTCTCGCTCCCGCTCCCACTCCGCGAACTGATTACCTAAGTCGTGGATCTATAATATGTTATTGGATAATAAAATCTACCATATCTGGGTTGGTGGCTGGCTGTGGGACTGACAACCATGTCTGTCTGATATCTGGTCTTGAAGCCGCAGCCATTGAAACAGTACCGCATGTGGCATCCATTCCTCAATAGTCAATACAATATTGCTCAAAAGGAAGATTATGAGCCGGATGTATATAATATAGATCCAGCACATAATTCAAAAAGCAAAAGGAAAAGATTCCAAAAGACACAAAGAAGTGGGTTGCTGCAGAAAAGACTTTTGGGCACATGGAAATGGTTGGTGGATGCAACGAAAAGAAATCAGAGATTGGCTCAAAACAGAAAAGCTAAATAAGGAATCATTGCATTCATTGCTCAATCATCTCCAACGGCTAATTATTTTTTATTTTTCTTTTCATAAATAATAGTTCAAAGATAGATGATTACATATAGCTAAGCAACCAAATGGTGGTAGTCGATAAATAGTCGATGAACAGGCTTAGTAGCAACTAAATAGACAGTCCTATTCTACGTTGAAGAAGTAAACGTACAAGAGGAAAGAGAAAACGGTAGTGAAGTCATCTAAATTTCCTGTAAAATAGCTCCACCTGCACCATACGACGTATCCATCTCCCTAAACCCTAAACCAAGGAGTAGCAGCAATCTCTTATTATATGGTTGGTACCTTGTATGATTGGACAGTGGTTAGTATTCCTCTCATTCAAGTTTGCTGATGATTTGAGAGTCTTGTAATGAAAACGGCAAGAGGAGGATTGTTGGGCAGGGTTTGAATCCAAATAAAATTCGAGGGGAATAAATTGGATCTCAAATGTTTGGCTTCTCTTGAGGGAGTTGCCCTAATTTGTTAATTGCGGGCATTGACTTCCTTCCTGTAAAGCGAATTAAATTTAGCGGCCTTGGCTGGTTATTCGCAGGCAAATTCCCAAACTGGACTACTTAGTTGCCCTAGCAATAGGAAATCTCTAACTTACTACTGCACATTCTACAGACCCTCTTTTGAAAAGTCTCATTGTTAGCACTTATTGACATGTACTTAAGGTGGTCTAGCCTGGTCTGGTTAAACCCGCTCTTTCTTTAGCTTGGTGAACGCCGTTCATGAATAATCTGGCCAGTTGCTCTCTTTAGCTGGGGTTGGTTTTGTTGATGGATCCCGCTCAATATTTCGTGTCATGGGAAGTAAATGATACTCGCTATACATACACTTAAATCAGGGGGGAAAGGTTCTTCTGGAATTCTCGAGAAAAGACTACGTCAGCCATCTATTGAGACTTGATTATGACATTCTTGAAGCTAAAAGGCATAACTCTTAGCAGCAACTGTCTATGAAGGGAAATGTTCTTCCTCTTCCCTCCTCAATGTGATCTGGTGATAGCCCGAAAACATGTCGAAAATGTGAAGAAATGACGGTGGTCAAAAGTCAACTCACCTGCTTGATCAATCTTAAGGATAGAGTACATATTCTTTGTGTAGATAAAATAATGTAGCTAGTGATCAATGCTAAGAGTAGGCACTTGAAGCAGCTATTCTATGATTAACGTGTACTCATAATTTTAAGAAAGGCCTTTGGTGCCCAGACTATTTCTCTTTTTCGCCTAATTACTAATAAATGATTTCACCAATATAAAAAAAAAATTGTATGTAGGTAGTGATAGAGAGATGAAGGACGAGATAGTTTATTGCTTCGGGAAACACATTACAGCAAAAGTCTCTAATGAAACCCTCAAATTACTACTTAGGGTGCATGGTAGGGAATGGGAATGAGATACAAATTGTTTTTTCTTACAATTGTAGCTCCAAATTCTTCCGACATATCAAGTTCTTGGGGTTTGATTTGGTTTGGGAGTTTCCAATCAAAATGGTAGAGCAAATTTACGAGTAGGAGATAGACAAGAGCAAGCCCATAATTCATGCCTGGGCAGATCCTTCGTCCAGCTCCAAATGGGATGAACTGGAAATCATTATTCTTATAGTCGATGGATGTGTCAAGGAATCTCTCCGGTATAAATTGATCTGGGTAGGTCCAGTGCGCGGGATCTCGACCGATGGCCCAGGAATTGACAATGACCCTTGTTTTTTCTGGTATTTGGTATCCAGCAATCACAACCATTTCTCGAGCTTCTTTTGGAATCGATAAAGGAACCGGGGGATGCAATCTGAAAGTTTCTTTAACAACTGATTTGAAATAGTATAGTTCATCGAAATAGGCTTCATCTACCGCTTTCCCCTTTGTGTCAAACACACCTCTGACTTCTGTTTGTACTTTTTCCATCTCTTTTGGGTTCTTCATCAATTCAGCCATAACCCATTCCAGGATAGTAGGGGAAGTGTCACCCCCAGCTAGGAATATGTCCTGCATAATTAATTATAGTTAATTAATTGCACATGCATGTTCAATTATATCAATCTTGACGACTGGCCGGCCGGTCTGATTTAATTAATTATGTAAATTTACATATATACGTACCAAGATGATGGCTTTAACCTCAATGTGGTCGTCCGTGTAATCCAATAGCACGTCAACTAGATCTTGTTGGTCATCTCTTTCTTTCCTTGTTCCTGCTGCTCTTCTGGATAAATGATCGTCAATGATCTCTTGGATCATGGCATCGGCTTCTGTGTGAAGCTTCTTCAGTTGCCTCTCCGTTCCAGTTATCTGATGCAACCACCTGTAAGATCGAGATTGTTGTAACAAGTAGAGAGATCCAGAATCTTATGATCTATCGTCACCGAGCTAGCTAGGGCTAATATATATATATCGAGAATCAAATGAAAAAATAAAAATAAAAAATTATACCTGTGGGAAGGGAAGATGTCCCCTAGGGTGAAGCCTCCAAGCTTCTGGGTGATCCGATGCATGAGCGGCAGGAAAGCTCCGTCTAGCTCCCGGATCTTCCCGAACGCGGCCCTCGACGTCATGGCGTTGGCCACCGAGATCAGCAGCTGGCTCAGGTTCACCGCTCCGCCGCCAGAGCCAGCAATCAACTTCACCAGCTTCCGGACCTCGTCCTCCCGAATCGGCCGCAGCGACTTGACTCGCTTCTCAGTCAGCAGCTCCGTGGTGCAGATCTTGCGCATCCGCCGCCAGTAGTCCCCCTCGGGAGAGAAGGAGATGTCCCGGCCGTCGTAGAAGATGATGCTGGCCGACGGCATGTAGGGCCTGGCCGAGAAGTTGAGGTCGTGTGTTTTCAGCAACTCCCTGGCTGCTTCCGGGGACGACACGACCACGTTCCACGTCTCCCCGAGCTTCAGCTGCATCACGGGGCCGTACTGCATCGCCAGGGCCGCGAAGCTGCGGTGGACGAGGCCCGAGTTGGGGGACAAGGCCAGCTGGTGGATGTTCCCGATGATGGGGAGCTTCCATGGCCCTGGAGGCAGGGGAAAGGCGGCGGCGGCTCCTGTCTTCTTCGTCTTGAGATGACAACTCATCAGCAGGATTAGTAGCAGGGTCGTCGACAAGAGGAGGATTAGTGGGTTAATGCTGTGTGAAAGGATCTCATCATCATTGCCAACTACTTGCTCCATTTTTCTTTTTTCCCAACTTTGAGCTCACTACCTACTCGATCTGCTCTGTGTGTGTATCATGTGTAGCATCCGATCGAGGTATAATGTAACCTGCAGTGGCGTGCCAACGATGGGGTAAAAACAAACAAACTAATAATAATAGCTATAATACTAATTTATTTCCTTATAACTAGATTGGGGCCCGCCCGTTGGCCGGATGAATTTCGTTAATAGTATAAATAAACATAGTAATTGTTCGAAGCAAGATATATTTTTATTTCATACCATAAAAATTTTCAAATCATTTAATTATCGGAAATATCATACTCGTATAATTTTCAATATGCCAAGCCAATTTCTTACTAAAGTCTTTATTGAAAGTAAAAAACAAAAGCAAGGCAAGAAAATTGAGTCCTAAAGATTCAATCCGACTACACTATTTGCTCCTCATTGTAACAAATTATTACACATTTCATTTTAGATTCCATGTGATCGCTTCTCCTCCGCCCTCCAAAGAACCATCATCTCCACCAACTACAATGCATTTTTATACTATAGCAAAACCTTTATCTTCACAGTAATTTGTTCCTTCTCTTTTTCTTTTCTATTTTCGTAGAAAGCTAATCTTTCATAGTAAAGTATTTTGAAACACTAAACATTCCACACAGTAGAATATATGTCTCATGAGCATTTTATGAGATTTATTCTTTCCCCAACGATAATACACAATTTAGCGATCAACATGATACTCTATAGATTAAAAACTTAATGAATAACCTTTAGGGGGTTGACTATTCTCCAATAAGTATGTGTATTTTTTCTTCTTCTTCTTATATATATGCAGATTTTATTTTTCAATTTGTAAATCATGAATTAAGCGAAAAGTATCATGATCATTCTAAGTTGACTTTAGGAAATACCCACTTTCATGACAATCAAGCGACAAATTGATGGCGGGGATGATTAGGAATTGATGTATAGATCGTGTACCACTGTAGATGAACTAATAGTTCATGAATGCTATTGTAGATGATGTCATAGGATGCTAGAATAATATATTATTTTTATTCCAAAAAATGTCAAAACGAAGGTTTTGTCTTCAGTGCACACTTTTTTGGGTGTATGATATGCGCTCACCTCATAATTGACATTCTAAGTACGCGATTCATGTCATAATGAATTAAATCATTACTTGTATTGTATGATGGACAACAAAATACACCAATTTATAAAAAAATCACTCAACTTTGATTTGAATGATTCAGGGTTTAGGAGTTTTGGGTTTGGGGTTTACAATTTGGGTGTAGGTTTAGGGTTCAAAATTGAAGGTTTAGAGCTTAGGGTAATTCATTGTTTGGTTATGATACTATATTATATCATCATATTAGATTAATAGTACCACTTAAAATTTAAACCAAACGCCTTTAAACTACTTTTAGAGTTGGGTGCATAGTATGCACTCCTTTGTGTGAGTGCAGTGTAGAAGCTACCCAAAATGAATATTATTCTATGTAGTATAATTATTTAATTTTTTAGTGAAAAGTTTATAATTTAAATCAGGACAAATGAAACATGACTAATTAAAAATCAATAAGGGAGTGATTATTCACGTTAAATTATACACCTCATCTATTAATAAGTTAACAATAATCTAAATGGCCTAAATGATACAATGAAATAGAGCTGTTAATAATAATTTTAATAGATATATAATGAATTCTACGGTGCACCATATCATCGGCTATTTCATTTAAAAAAAAAATTATGGTACAAATTGAACTTATACCTTTAACGTTATAGTCAATTTCAAGTTGTTTCTATACATTTTCCCACAAGTGCAAATTTAATTTGTACCTATATCTTTCAGTGCAAATTCATTTATGATACAAACTGAATGTAGAATCTTTAACGTTATGGTAAAATTTGCACCTATACATTTTGTACAAATTACTTTATAATACAAAATAAACTTGTATTTTTAACGTTATCCTAACAGTACTATAATAAATCATAAATAAATTATTTTGTTAATTTCATTTGCTAAAACAACAGTGGTGAATTAACCCCATGTAATTATTGGTGCTCATATAATTAGCTTCTACTTTGTGCCGCACAAGTGGTGATGTCTTCCAAAAGAATTCTCCAGTCTCAAGTTTGCAATGAAAAGAATAATGGGTCTGGCCCATTTCGGTCAATAATTATACAGTTCAATTTTTTCCAGTCCCAAGTTTACAATGAAAAGAATAATGGGTCTGGCCCATTTCGGTCAATAATTATACAAATACATTTACGAAAATCTCCTCCAGTGAATTGCGGAGAGAGCAGGAAAAGAGGGATTAAGGGGGTTCCAGCCAAGAACCTCCATATAGTATTGTTAGGATTCACAACACTAATGGTGGGCTTTTTATTTTGGGAATGCAAAGAATGGAAGAGGGACTTTTAATTGGGACAAAAGTTTGCAGAGGGATTTTGAGAGAGGAGAATGGGAACTTCTTCTTTATTATACTTTGCTACTTGGCTCTCCTCTGCTCTCCATTACCAACGCAGAACCAGCCTATATATACGCTTTCAAATACAAAATATCTGCCTAAACCAACTTACAACTTGTGGTTTTCCATTTTTCTCATTTCTTTATGTTACAACTAACAACTACTCTTAATTAATTAACCTTCTACACAATTCTCCACACACTCATCCACACACAACACCTACTCCCATCTAGCACATTCTGATATTTATTTATTTAATTAAACTTTATTCTTCATTTTCAACACTCCCCCTTAAAGTTTAATTAACTGTAACCCCGAGTAGCGTCCTCAGTTTGGCGAACACGTCTTGCTTCAACGGCTTCGTGAAAATATCAGCAATCTGGTCTTCAGTCTTCACATACTTCAGCATAACTTCTTTCTGCTCCACGCATTCTCTCAAGAAATGATATCTCGTATCGATGTGCTTACTGCGATCATGAAACACCGGATTCTTTGCTAACGCCAGGGCAGACATGTTATCAACATAAATCTCAGTTGACTCTTCTTGTGTCATATTCAACTCCTTCAGTAACTTTCTCAGCCATATCGCATGACACGCACACGATGTCGCAGCAACATACTCAGCTTCACAAGTTGACAGTGTCACAATAGCTTGCTTCTTTGAACTCCATGTGAAAGCTGTATCTCCAAGAAAAAATACGAATCCTGTAGTGCTCTTGCGATCATCCACGTCTCCTGCCCAATCACTATCGCAGTATCCAACCAATTTGAAATCTTCTGATTTAGTATAAAGCAGACCATGATTGATTGTACCTTTTATATAACGTAATATCCTCTTGGCAGCATTCCAGTGTAACATAGTTGGTGCCTCCATGTATCTGCTGACTAAGCCAACTGCGTAGAGAATATCTGGTCTGGTACAAGTCAAATATCTCAGACTTCCCACGAGACTTCTAAACTCTGTTGAGTTGATCTTCTCTCCTTTATCATCCTTGGGTAACTTTAGTCCACACTCTGCTAGTGTGCTCACAGGATTACAGTTCTCCATCTTAAACTTTTTCAGGACCTCTTTGGAAAAACCACTCTGTGAGATGAAAATTCCTTCCTCCTTTTGATTTACTTCAATTCCAAGATAGTATGACATTAGTCCGATGTCTGTCATCTCAAACTCTTGAACCATTGTCTTTCTGAACTCTTCAAACATCTTAGGATCGTTGCCTGTGAAGATGAGATCATCTACGTACAGGCAAACTATCAATATTGCTCCCTCTTGCACCTTGTAGTATAGTGCATGCTCATGTGGGCATTTGCTGAATCCGTTCTGCTGGAAGTACTTGTCAATCCTGCTATTCCAAGCTCTCGGTGCTTGTTTCAGACCATACAGTGCCTTCTTCAGCTTCAACACCTTGTCTTCTTGGCATTCAACGATGTATCCAGGAGGTTGCTCAATATATATATATCTTCCTCGAGATATCCATTCAAAAAAGCTGACTTCACATCCATCTGATGTATCGTCCATCCATTTTGAGCTGCGAGAGATATCACCATCCTGATACTTTCCATTCTTGCCACGGGAGCAAAAACTTCATTATAGTCAATGCCTGGTCTCTAACTATACCCTTTCACCACTAATCTTGCCTTGTGCTTGACAACTTCTCCTTTTGCATTCTTCTTTGCTTTAAATACCCACTTCACACCGATGGGCTTCTGGTTCTCATGGAGTGACACAAGCTCCCAAGTCTTGTTCTTTTCAATTGCTCCAATTTCTTCATCCATAGCTTTCTTCCATTTTTCATCCTTCATGGCTTCTTCAACATCCACTGGTTCACTATCAATGAAATGACAGTAGAGTGTCAATTCATCACCTTCAATGGTTGTCGTTTCCTTATAAATTTCTTCAAGTCTCCTATACTTCTGTGGCCTTTCTCGGGGACTTTCACTCGATTCTCCTTCTGGGCTGGTAGGTTCTCTGTGAATGGGTGGACTTGTCACAGGTGTAGTTGTATCTGGTTCGTCATCACTTTCATCCATAGTGAATGGATAAAAAGTGTAATTCTTATTTGCTTCAGTAGTCCAGTCCCATGTTGCTTCTTCATCAACTACCACGTCTCTGCTGATGATCAACTTCTCTTCCACGGGATCAAACATTTTGTAACCTTTTGAGCGTTCTGAGTATCCCAGGAATATGTACTTCTTGCTTTTGTCATCCAACTTCTTCCTTTCTTGATCCGGTACGTGCACATATCCGACACTTCCGAAGACTCGGAGGTGAGAGACTGTGGGTTTCCTTCCGCTCCATGCTTCTTGGGGTGTTTGATTCCAAACACTCTTTGTTGGTGACCTGTTCAGCAGGTAGACTGCACAATCAACAGCTTCAGCTCATAGCTCTTTCGGCAGGTTCTTGCTCTTCATCATGCTTCTCGCCATATTGAGGACAGTTCTGTTCTTCCTCTCAACGACTCCATTCTGCTGTGGGGATCTTGGGACTGTGAGAAACCTGCGAATTCCTTGATATTCAAAAAACCTCCTGAA